ATCCACTCTCGGGAGTTCCTGTGTGAATAAAACGGAATGATCCCCTGGCTCATAGGGAGCGAATGCTCCCCTCATACGAATGAGTCTTTTCCCCCCGAAAAGCACTCTCCTGACACGTGAGAGGAGCAGTTGGTGGTACAATTTCAACGGGGTTCGCGAGTTGGAGTATTTGGAATTGGTTCCAGCCGTTTCACCAAGTACCGCTGCCTGTGTTCAGGAGACAAAATGGTAGCTGTGACAAACTCCCCTTTTTAAGGGAGTTTGCCATGAGTTTTTGGAGGGGCCTGCTTGCCAGCTTCCTACCCTGGGACTATGGGCCCTGTGATAACTCAAATTCAAAAGTACTGTTTCTGCCCCTTGGACTTTTAACTGGAACAGATTCAAACATGTGGCGGCGGCCATCTTAAATTGTCCAGCAGTGTTTTGTCGAGTGTATGGAACTGTTTTGGGCATGGGACCATGTGCACGGTGGGGCAAAAATAAGCCTTCCAGGAAATTCCTGAACCCCTCAACCGATCTGGGTGAATTTTGGATATGTTGTTCACCGAGATCGGGGCTATAAGGGGATATGTTGTATTTTGGGGTACTTTTTGGGGTTTGCAAAAATGTATGTTTTTTTTCTGTTTAGAATTAATTGTTAGTCCGTTGTCGTCTTTTTAATTGTATCACAGGCAGAGGGGAGGGATTGTATACACTGTATGGGAGTGTTTGAATGTAAATCTCTTTATTGGCTTGTATTCGGTGCCCAACTAGGTCCACCTGGACTTCACTTTTGCTGTAAAACGTGTATAAAAGACCAGTGTGTGCCATTAAACTTCCTGTTCCTGATTTACCCTCAATCTAGAGTCTTGTCTCTTATTGGGGGAAACTGCTACAAGGAATTGCTATGCTCTTCATACTCACTTGGATAATCACTAAGCTCATTTAAGAGCTTGTTCCTGCTTCACTCTCTGGAGCCTTGTCGTAGGTCCAGGGTGGGTAGGAGACGGCGAGACCCCAACTAAGCTGCGGTGGTTCATGGGGTCTGCTGTACTTATGGTGTCTGGAGAAGTGCTTGCAGCCCTCGGTAAGCACTAGGAGCATCCGTCGGCAGAGGTACCCAACTGGGGTACAGGAAGCTCCGTTACAGCGGCCATTCCATAAAGCATGTGCATTCGGTTATATGAATGGTGGCTACCCAGAGAACACTTGAGTTAATGACTTCTTTTGAAGTTTGAGCCAAGAAGGTGGTCTAGGTTCAGGAGGTATAAAGGGGGACATGAGTCTTCGTTCAGGGACACCCGAACAGAGAAGGAACAGTCTTTTTTACAACAATTTGGGGAAATAAAACAAGTGATGGGATTTTCTGTCCGACTGAGGATGGCCCGACTGGGAGAGGAAATTATGTGCACATTCTGTGCCTGACCAAGGGGTGTCAAAGAGACTGCATGGCTGGGAGGGAGAACTGAGTGTATACGAGCCTTACTCTGTGCCAGACTCTGCCAGTTCCCAAGGTTCTGTATGTGTGAGGATATGGAGTGAAACAGAGTGAGACAGAGGTTCCATTAGTAGAAATGGGGAACCGTCCACTGTCTGCCCAAAGTGAGGGACAGACTCGCCAGTACCAAAGGTTCTATATGTGTGAGGACACAGCATGAGTGAGACAGAGATTCCATTGGTTGAAACGGGAGCATGGAATCTGTCTTCCCAAAGTGAAGGGCAGGGACAAACTCCTCCTTTTGAGTACAGGGAGAATGGCCGCAGGGGAGCATACTGATGGGGTAGCCGGGAACTTTGTCGGCTTATCACCATCGCACCTCACGCATACACCCAAGCCAGCTCAGGAGCAGGAGTCTGTTGCTAAGCAACTCTCTAATTCTGAACCAAAGTTAATCAGAAAGTGCAATGAGCCCAGCAGACAGAACCCAAAATAAAAGATAAGGAGCGTTGGTACAGCGCAAGTACCCTGGGAGTGTTCGGTCTCCTCCTTTTTTGTGCTTAGAGGGGAGTGCTGCAGAAATCCATTGGTTTCTTCCCCTTGGACCTCCTACATGGGCGCAGTGGGTGAAGTCCAAGGGATATGACCAGGGATCAGTCGGAAATGGAAACAGGCAAATCAGGCATGTGTTGTGGATATGGCTTAGTAACTGTAGCAGACCCCGGGATACCCAACCGGTTACCTCAGTTATTGCCTTCCTTCAGCCACTCAGAAACCCTTACAACAAGCAGAGACACAGCTCTGGGAGTACAACACAACTAAATCACACTATACAATTGTGGGAAAACTAGCCACTTAAGACTGTATGTGTATTAATGTGTTGCTGTGACTTTAAGAATGTTAGAACCAAGCGTGTACCTATTTCTTCATTTTATGCGAACAAGAGCATTCATGTGCTGGAGGCAGGAAAGCCACCAGCCTTCATATAGTAGTTTCACGAACAGTGAATTTCAACACTATTCGTGAAACGAACAAACTACCGAATAGGAGACCACACACAGGAGGTCGTGTGGCTCCCATTAAGTATTGCAACAATGTATCCTTCGGTAATTATTGAGATTCAGGGCGGCCGCTGTTCAGCTACCAACCACGCGGCGGTCGGCCATCTTGGATCCTTTGTTAGCCCAGCGGTATTGGGTTGTTGAGTGCCTGGAACTAAAATCGGCTACTCAACGGCACGAATACCACTGGGCTTCCAGGCCGTTCGGGAGCACCGGTCATTCGGTAGTTTGTTCCCCTATTGACAATTAGCACTTTGAATGCGAATGTAAAATAACATGTGTTTCGTGCGGCGTTCGGTTATTTATGCTGGGATCTGAGCGGTACTTTCACGAAAGGTGTGCTCAGACCCCAGCTATCTACCGAACGGTCATTCTGTAAAATAACATGAATAATATGAAAGTTATGTATTTTTGTGTGAAATGTCAGTTCTGCTGCACGGAGGGATAATCCACTTAACTGGATATTCTAGTGGGAGTATCCCTCTCGTGCAGCAGGTTAAGTTCCCCATGTAGTCCCCTATTTTACAACTCCTGTAATGTCAGTAGGGAAACCCCTTGCATGGGGAAATCCCATAAATACTGTGACCTGTGAATAAAAGCTCAGTTGACTCCCAGCCTATGTGTCGTCTAGTTCTTGGGAAGGAAGGATTTATACAATGCTACTGGGATTATTGTATGCTGTACTCATTTTGCTTGAAGGATTTTATGCAGTTCCTGTTACCCAGCGGAGACACTGTGGATTATACTACCTCTCCGCTACAACAATATTACAATTTATATATTTATTTATTTAATCTGCCTGGCTGTTAGGTTGGGGGGAACCGCCTGGCTGTGTTAGGTGGGGAGGGAATCCACCTGGCTGTGTTAGATGGTGGTGATCTGTCTGGCTGTGGTGGGGAATCCGCCATGTGGTGGTGGGGAGGGGGGAGATCCGCCTGGCGGGGGGGAGTGGCTCCGCCTGGCTGTGGTGGGGGGGGGTTCTGCTTCAATAACAGAATAAAATGTTGGTGCAGCTATAATGACTGCAAAAAGAATCTAGTGAGTAAGATGATAGGAATGTCATTGGTGAATCAAGTTATAATGGAGCAAATCTTCTTCTCAAAATAAAAGATGAGCTGTATATCGCTGGGATCTGTCCTTTCTCACAGTCCTTTTCATTGCCATAAAACCCTTCTCCTCTTGTTGCAGGCAGCATGTCTTCGGCAGAGACCGAATCTGAGACCACGACAGACAGGTACACAAGTCCACCTCACTGGATTCTGAAGCCAGGTCTATGACTACAGCATTAGTTGAGACTTTGAATCGATATATCTGAAGGAGATCCCACATCTTTCTCATTTATGCCAAATATTTTCTAATTGCAGCTTTGTGAATATCTCAGAGTGTGAGGTAGACAAAGACCAAACATGTGAGGCCACATGTGAGAAAGACAAAGAACAGCCTCCAGAGGCTGCAAGCAAGGAAGACAAGGGTAAAGAGCAGCCCCAAGACGCCACTAGTGAGGACAACAAGGGGAAATGGCAACCTCAAGAGGCCACCACTGAGGAAGATAAGGGAAATGAGCAGCCCCCAGGGGCCACCAGTGAGGACAACCAGGGGAAAGAGCAGCCCCCAGGGGCCACCAGTGAGGACAACCAGGGGAAAGAGCAGCCCTCAGATGCCACCAGTGAGAACAACCAGGGGAAAGAGCAGCCCCCAGATGCCACCAGTGAGAACAACCAGGGGAAAGAGCAGCCCCCAGAGGCCCCCAGTGAAGGCAACCAGGGGAAAGAGCAGCCCCCAGAGGCCCCCAGTGAGGACAACCAGGGGAAAGAGC